GGTATACATCAATACGTACACAAATTGAGCTAATAATTGTATATATCACTGATAACAAGTATATACATGGTCTTATACAATATTGAATATATAAACCATTATACATATGCATATGAGTGTACGTATATACATATTAGTGTACATAAACACTAATAACTGTATAAACTGATAATAAGTGTCTATATAGTCATATATATCAGTGTATATAGAAATGTATGTATGCACTATCAATGCGTAAGGGTGCATGTGTGTGCACATATCAATGTATATATAACTGATAGGAAGTTTATATATACACGTATAAAAATATTGGTATATACATATCATATATATGCACACTCTATACATATATAAAATGCTAATAAGTGTCTATATGGTCATATATATCAGTGTATATAAAATGCATGTATTAATGTAAACATACACAATATATATGCACTTATCAATACATAAAGGTGCATGTGCGTACGCGTATCAGTGCATATATACATTGAAACAACTGTATACATACACACATAAACATGTCAGTATATACATATCATATATATAAATACATCAGTCCATACACAACACACATATAAGTGTACTATATATCTATGAGTGTAAGTGTGAGTGTGAGTGTCTGCGTGTGTGTGTGTATGTGTGTGGTGTATGGTGTTTGTGTGTGTGTGTTAAGAAAAAGTCACTTAATAAAATTGCAAACCACAAGTAAAGCTCCAGAAAATTCAGTCCATATTTGCATGAACGAAACAAGAGTGTGTGTGTGTTAAAAAGTTACTTAATAAATTGCAAACCACAAGTAAAGCGCCAGAAAATTCACTCCATATTTGTATGAAAGAAGCAAGAGCAGTACTATACTAGAGAAGAAAGAACCATTGAACAAATAAAGCTTGCAAGATCAAGATCTCAAATATCAAATAACGTAAAGAGATCCGCCTCGATGACAAGTTGCTTTCATGCTTGTTGATTTACAAGAAAACTTGATGAAGATGAAGCTCATCAATATTAATAAAAACAACTAGAAATAAGAAAAAAATTTACATGGACTATCACAATTGGGTATTTAGCATACCCAAATTCATCAAGAGAAGAAACCCATTCTTATGCCTAATTCTATACAAAGTAATATGGAATTTTGTATAGGCTTATCAGATTAGAGGTGATAGTTTATATATCTGTGAGTATGAGTGTGAGTGTGTGTGAATGTGAGTGACTGTGAGAGTGAGTGTGAGTGTGAGTGTGAGTGTGAGTGTGAGTGTGAGTGTGTGTGAGTGTGAGCGTGAGTGCGAGTGTGTGTGTGAGCGAGTGCGAGTGTGTGTGTGAGCGTGAGTGTGAGTGTGAGTGCGTGAGGGCGAGTGTGTGTGAGTGCGAGTGTGAGTGTGAGTGTGTGTGTACTTGCAGTATATAAATCAGTGTACATATACGTTAATAAATGTATAAACTGATAATAAGTGTATATTTAGTCATATACAGAAATGCATATATTAATGCACTGTATATATGAAATTATATACTTTACACATACACACAAATCCGAATATACACATCGTAAATATACAGACATCACACACACACACACATACATATCAATGTATTTTTACACACTAGTATGTATATATAGCTGAAAACTAATGTATTTTATGGTTGTATGCGTCAATATATATATACTCTGAAAATAATGGTATATATTGCTAAACATCAATACGTACATAAATTAAGCTAATAACAGTATAAATCACTGATAATAAGTACATACATAGTCTTCTATACATTAGTGTATATATAAACCCATTCTTATACATGAGTGTGAGTGTGAGTGTGAGTGTGAGTGTGTGTGTGTGGTGTGTGTTAAGAAAAAGTCACTTAATAAAATTGCAAACCACAAGTAAAGCTCCAGAAAATTCACTCCCTCTTTGCATGAAAGAAGCAAGAGAATGTGTGTTAAGAAAAAGTTACTTAATAAAATTGCAAAACACAAGTAAACCTCCAGAAAATTCACTCCATATTTGCATGAAAGGAGCAAGGGCAGTATTATACTAGAGAAGAAAGAACCATTAAGCAAATCAAGCTTGCAAGATAAAGATCTTAAATACCGAATAACGTAAAGAGATCCGCCTCGATGATAAGTTGCTTTCATGCTTGTTGATTTACAAGAAAACTAGATGATGATGAAGCTCATAAATAATAAGATAACAAAGTAAAAATAAGATAAAAAATTTACATGTACTATATCAATTTGGTTTTTAGCATACCCAATTCATCAAGAGAAGAAACCCATTCTTATGCATAATTCTATACAAAGTAATATGAAATTTTGCCGAGGCATATCAAATTAGAGGTGATAGTATATAAAAATGTATATATTAATGCACTGTATATATATAGTTATGCACTTTATACATACACACAAATTTGTATATACACATCATATATATGCAAACATCACACACACATACACACATTTCAATGTGTTTTTATACACAAGTAACTGTATATATAGCTGATAACTAACGTATAT